CTATAAAAGCTTCTAAGAAATTTCTGAAAAGATTCTTCAAATAAATTCCTATAGAAGTTCTATAAACGAAATATTTTCCTATAAAAGCTTCTAAGGAATTTCCGAAAAGATTCTTCAAATAAATTCCTATAGAAGTTCTATACACTCATATAATTTTGATTTTGATCAAGGAAGGAGGGGGGGAATTAAAAAGGGGAGGATGGGAGGAGGGAAGGTGGCCTTCAATCAGAGGATGCATGTTGGGGAAGGTGAGTAGGTCAGGAGGACAAGGCTGGGATGATATGGGCCGGTGCTGGAGCTTGGCTCTGTGACCCAGGGGGCCAGGGGGGAGCTTGAGGCCCATGGAATTATGCCGAGGGTGGAAGGCATAACCAGATCGTCAAACACAAGCGGCGCCGGGGTTCTGACCCTGTAACCTGTGTAGGGGTTTGTCGCTATGGGAATTGTCGAGGGAGGAAGGCACTTCCTATCCGACAGAACTAGATTGGTCGGAACTGGGGAAGGTTGCGGTGCCCTGTTACCCATGCAGAAGGGGGTAAGAGACCAAATGTGCTCTGGTTCGAGGACCGAAAGTCGAGACCGACGGCTCCTTTGTTGAGGGGGGGACTTTAGGATGGTTGGTATTTAGTTTTGATTTCCCCCCCCTGCTTTTTTATTCTTACAGATGGCTGGTCGGGGGTCTTAAGAATGCTTTTGGGTTCTCGAGATCCTAGCAATTTTTCTCAGGTGTTTTTTGATGCTGTTATACTCAGGGACCTGTGGCTGCTCGATGCCAGAACGACGCTGGCCGGAGCTGGGGTGTTACCCTGTGACCTGTGATGCAGGAGCATGAGGCCTGGTAGAGAGATCTGGGGATGCTTAGGGGTGGGCATCCTACGGAACAGCTAAGGGTTGTTGCTGGGACGACGCTGGTCGGAGCTGGGGTGAGTTGTGTCACCCTGTAACCTAGCAGGATGTGGGGTGTGAGACCTGGAAGAGCTCGGCAGGGAGTAGGACAGTGTTGAAAGGCCTCGGAAGGAGCGTTAGGGATTCCAAGGGTTTCTGAGCATTTCTAGGACCCACCAGGCCTTTTTTATGTTTTTCAAATTACGAATCTTTACGTAGTTAAATCCAATTCTCAAAAACAGGGGGTAGTCTGTTCTGTCCTTAAAAAGTCTTCTGGATCGTGGGGTTTCCTGGCAATCTCTTCTAGGTAGTTTCAAGGCTGTAATACTCGGTGACCTAAGGCTGTTCGACGCCAGAACGACGCTGGCCGGTGCTGGGGTGTTGCCCTGTAACCTGTTGATGCAGGGGCATGAGGCCTGGTAGAGAGATCTGGGGGTGCTTGGGGGGGCCATCCCACGGGACAACCAAGGGTTGGTGCTGAGACGACGCTGGCCGGAGCTGGGGTGAGTTGTGTTGCCCTGTAACCCAGCAGGATGGGGGGGGTGAGGCCTAGAAGCTCGGCAGGGAATAAGACAGTGTTGGAGATCCTTGGAAGGATCTGTTAGGGATTTTGCGGGATTGGGGGCTTTTTTAGGACTTTTGCAGTCTATTCCCGTACCTTTTCTGAGTAACGCGAAGGTAAGGGATCGAGAGAGAAAGGTATCACGCATCCTGCTAGTGAAGGGGCTAGCTGGTAGGACAGAAATAGGGCATAGCAGCAGTAGAGATGGTGACTTTGCTGCAGTAAGTCTTGCTGGAGTGGGGTGAGGAGGACTGTTGGTGGATTCCCGAGTCTTCTTCTGGTTTTTGTTCATCTCTGAATGTTCCTTACAAAAAAAGCTCAGAAGTAGCCTCAGTATACCGTTAGTTTCATTGTCATGAAATTTTCTGATGGTTTTTCTGAACGTACTCAAGGGACGCTGGGCCCGGTTCCCAGCTTATGCCAATTTGAGAGGATATGGTTGTATCTATGGGACGCTGGACCCGGTTTCCAGCAGGTGCTGCTCCCCACCAATAGATGGAGCGTGTGTGCTTAAAAAAAAAAAAGTTAATTAATGAAATGAAATGAAATAATTTATTAATTTTAGATTCTAGAGTCTAGAATATATAGATTGTAAATTGTTAGTATTGTGTATTTACTATCTACAAATTGAAGTTGGTAGAAAGTGTTAGGGCATGCTCTTAGAAAATAATTCAAAATACTCAACTCATTGCGCAACGAGAACGGGAGCGGAGAGAGAAAACAAACAAGATGGCACGACCTCGTTAGCCTCTTAAGTTCGATCCGGTCGATATACAGCGTTTGCTTCGGCTTGTGTGCTGTTTGACGACAAGGCGGTTTGACTGTTGTGGTCCTGACAGCTTGTGGCTCATTTTGTGATTTTGCGAGTTTGAGGGGGCCTAGTGTGAGGATGCGCTTAGAAACTACTGAATTAGATCGAGTTCCTTGCCCTCTTTCTGTTTGGGTGCTTGTTCACAGGTTGAGGTGTTCAAGTGTGCGATTTCTGTTTTTTGTTTGGTGCATTTGTGGAGTAGGGACGGGGTCACAGACGAGAACAGGTATGCGGCCAGCAGAGGTGCACAACACTGCGTCAATGATTTGATTTTCTCAATTTTGAAATTTTGAATTTTCAGAAAAAAACTTGAAAAAAGTTTTTTTTTTTTTTTTTTTTTTGTTTCTTAAGAAGCGGGTAGCCCTAACTTTATTTTGTCTTATGACTCTTATCACGAGTCTTATGAGTCTTATGAGTCTTATCCCATCAGGATTGGAAGTCGTGTTCTGTTTTCTAACAGTTACATGCCTGAATCATTCGGCCACATGGGTTGGGATTCGCTGGAAAGTTAAAAAAGTTTTAAAACTAGTTAAAAAGTTTTAAAACTAGTAAAAAAAAACTTGGGAAAGTTTTCAAAAACTTTGTGAATTTTCCCCTTTGTTAACAACGTAGAAGTTATAAAAGCAAAAAAAAAAGTGAAATTGTGAATGATACTTCGTAAATTGTGAACGTTCAAATATCTTGAGGACACCACCCTTGTAAAAAGAAAAAAAAGAAAGTCCAAAGTCTTGAGCTGCAAGCCTGCAACATTCTCCTCGTCTTCTCTCATGAAAGCTTACTCTCTTGCTGAGTGTCAGGCGAGACAGTCTTTTTTTTCTTTTTTCTTTGTTGTCCCCTCCCTTATTTAATGTTCCGGCTGGATGATCCACGCTTATTTTTCTCCTACGAGTTTTTTTCTTTCCGACAGTTAATTCGGTCGGAAATGAAAAAAAAAAACTCGGAGGAGAAAAATAAGCTAGCTACAGTACTGCCTAGCTTTTCTTTTTTCTT